GACCCAGACGCCCTTTCTCTTCATATATGCAGCACGAAGTTGCCACATACAACCCTCTTCAGCATTCTTACAAATGACATGCAGTTGTCCCTTGTCAGAATTTTTTACCTTCCATTCGAAGTTACGCCGCATGGCTTCTTCGCTAAAAGCATCTTGCACATCGGCTTTCGAAGTGAACGCCATACCCACTTCCAAATTAGCATTCGGATTATACACAGGCATGGGCCGAAAGTCAGGGGCATCGTTCTGACCATATGAAAATTGATCAGGAACCTCTGTGTAGTAAGGCGTTGGTGCCTGACGGAACGCCACCTCTCTGTCATCGATATCGTCGATATCGTCCGTATCTTCCTCCTCACTGACTGATCTCAAATCTTCCTCACTTTCATCATCACTAGAGGCGAATGGATAGCTCGGCTCAGGATGGTCATCGTTACCAGCATAACCAGCATCGTCTTCTTGGTCATGCGAAGTGCGCCCAGATCGAAGGGTGTTTTCAATGTCAGCCCACAAATCCATAATGGTTGACTCATTTAACCACATTCCTATTTTGTTAATCTTTGCATATACCTTAAGGACCTAGGAAATCAAAGTTCTATATAGTTGTGCGCAAAGAGCAAGCTATTCTCGCATCACTATCTTCAATTGCAAGGCAGACATCAACATCACTCTTTAAAACTTCAAAAGAATTAGCCCAGGAACCATAAAGGAGTAACCGAGCTTCTGGCCATTCCCTGTTAACTAGCTACTCCAACATTTTTAAAGTGGTAATGAGTGGTCTGATGCTACTAACTCTGTTGAAATGTGGCTAGAGTAGTAACGAAACCACATTCAACATATAGTGACAGATGCAGTAGATCCAATAGTGAAATTTCCTACACATTTAATTCAACATCACAATGACACTAGAAGAGAAGCAGAGAAGGTTCTAATAGTCAAATTTCATTTTTTGGTGGATTTGCTGCTACTTCCAATTAGATGGGTATTTACGGGTAGTATGGGTACCCGTTATCCGTCCCGTACGGGTAATGGGTATCCGTTAACCCGTATGGGTTTGGGACATGGGATGGATATTGCTCTCCAAATGGGAACGGGTATCCCGTCCCGTCCCGTTGCCCACCCCTAAACTAGCAGGGGGCTTAGACCAGCCAACTAAAACTTTTTCCCTTCGATTAGTATTGTTGGTAGAAAGAGTCTTGTTGGCTGATTCCCAGTTTTTTGCCCAGTCAGTAGCTTTGGCAGTAACATAGTGGCGGAGAGTAGGAATAGAGAGCTTGATACCCCTGAAGATGCCCTCATTCCTGCACTTCCAGATATACCAAATCATCAAGCTGGAGAAACTGTTCCACTTGCCCGGCCAGCTCCCCATGGATTCATCCATCAGATTCGCTTTGAACAAGCTTCGTGTGACGAGTTATAAAACGCAGCCCGTCTCTGCGGCTCCAAAGTCCTATTCCAGACTTATTTGACTCTATGAAAATCCTGGAGGCAGTGCAGGACTGTTTCCGGAATACCTTAACATTCATGACAAGAATCATCTTGGGCTAGTATCTATCCTCCATATTTTTTCAAGAGAAGTTTTGTCCAAAGAGATTATTCTCTTGTAGTAATTTTCCATCCACCTTTAGCTAACATCACTTGATTAGCTAGCCTTGTAGGACGTATGCCAACACCTCCTTGGGCTTGGGGAATCGTCATTAGCTCCCATGCCACTGGGTGGAATTTCGATTTCCCATCATCTTCTCCCCAAATTAATTATTTGTTGATCCTGTCCAAATCATTACAAACAGAAGTCGAGAGGAGTTCTGAAAACATTGGGTAAACAGCTATAGAGGAAGCAACAGATCTCACCATGGTAATCCGAGAGGCTAGGGGGAGGCAGTTAGATTTCCAAGTAGTCAGCTTATTTTGAATACCGAGACCCAGCTCCTTATAGCGAGCTTTGGTCACTCTGCCATGAATAGCATTGAGTCCCAAATATCGCCCCAAATCCGTAGTGAGAGGAATATTTGCTCTATTGCTGAGATTCTGTGCCTTATCCCTTCTGATGTTGGGAGAGACAAAGAGAACTGACTTGTTCACATTGACTCTTTGCCCTGAGCTGGAACAAAAGTTCTCCAAGCATTGCTTAATGATATCAATCTGTTTGCTCCCAGCCTCTGCAAAAAGAATGAGATCGTCTGCAAAGAAGCGGTGAGACAATTTAAGACCATGAGTTGTAATAGAAAGCGATTTCCATTGGCAGTCTGTCACTGTCATCTCAATTCTGTGAGCTAGACGTTCCATACAGAGAACAAAAAGATACGGGGACAAGGGGTCTCCCTGTCGCACTCTCTCGACGGTGAGATAGGATCTGTAAGTTTTTCGTTCTAGTTGATCTTCATCCTGTTATCCTCCACACAGGTCATAATCCTGCCTATCCAAGTGCTTGGGATGCCGACTTCAATGAGAGTGTCTCTGATAAAGTCCCATCTCATCCTGTCATAAGCCTTTTGAAGATCGACCTTTATAACTATCCCTCATTTCTTCCCCTTCTTAGAACGTAGAGAGTGGAAGACTTCCTGTAGGATAATAATATTGTCAACAGTTTTCCTTTTAGGGATGAAACCGCTTTGGGTGGGAGCAATGAGATTGGACATGATCGGTTCATTCTGTTGGCCATAGCCTTCGTGATCGCCTTAGACTGACATTGTTCAGGAAAATGTGTCTAAGATACGTCGGTGACTCCGGATGCTCGTTTTTAGGGATGAGAACAATATTGGACTCAAAATTTTTTGCCGGTAGATGGCCTGTTTCAAAGAAGGAGATGGCAAAATTATCAGTATTCCTCCCCACAAATTTCCATAGTTTTTTTTATAGAAAACCGCTTGGAACCCATCGGGTCTAGGAGCAGAAAAGGGTTTCATCTCAAAAATTGATTTGTGAAAATCAGCAATAGTAAAAGGGCGAAGAAGTTGAAGAAGTTCTCCCTGGTTTATTCGCGGGAAACAGTTCTTGGGCATCTTTTCCATGTATTGGGAGCTATCTTGGGTGTAGAGGTTGATGTAAAAATTTAGAACCAGCTCCTCAAGTTTCCCAGAATCATCTATCCAATTTCCATTCTCATCTTTCAAGGTAGGGATCTTTTTGCAACCACGTCTCCTGGTGGCTTGTTGATAGAAGTAAGCTGTATTTTGTTCTCCAAGAGTGACCCATTTCTCTTTAGCTCTTTGGAACCAAATAACCTCCTCTTGGGCCAGGATAGAGTCGGGATCAGCTTCCAATTTAGCCTGAAGCTTAAGGAGACCCGGACTGAAACTGTTTGCAAGATTAGTTTGAATCCCCTGAAGGCGGGCAAGGATTCTCCTCTTGCGGCGGTGGATGCTGCCAAAAATTTCCTTACTCCAGTCTTGAAGTTTAGACGTGATATCCTACAAAGCTTGCTGCAAATTGGTGTTTTCATTCCAGCTACCTGCAAAGAAATCAAAGAAACGATCGTGCAGCAGCCACGCCGATTCAAACCTGAAGGGCTTAACATTAAAAGAAATAGGATTAGTGCCAGCCCTAGAGGTCAAGATTGGGAGATGATCCGAGTGCATCTTTGAAAGGTGTTGAACAACAGTCATGGGGAAGGAAGTGTTCCAATGGGTATTGCACAGATATCTGTCAATTCGACTAGCCTTGCGAGTGAGCTGAGAGTCACCTCTGTACCAAGTGAAACAAGGACCTGAAAAACCCAAATCAAATAAGTTAGCTAAATCTATCCAATCTGCAAATTGTTGACAGCGTCTCAAAGCTGCAAGAGAGATTGATCAAGATTTTTCCAACAGGAGATGATAGGCATTGAAATCTCCTGTGATGATCCAAGGCAGGTTGATCGCTCTGCTAGTATGAATAATCCTCTCCCAGAGTTTCTTATGGAAGCTATACTAAGGGCTACCATAAAGTCCAGTTAGCAAAAAGTCACCAGAGCTAGCTCCATTAATTCTGACAGTTAAGTGTTGTTGGCTGGCATCAAAGAATTCCACATCAAAATCATCCGCCTTCCAAGCTAACCAAATGCCTCCTCTCCTTCCTTCAGCGTCGATTCTAATAACAACCTCGAAGCCCAGGCTACTGCAGACACGGTTAGCTTTCTCGCCACTTATTTGAGGTTCGAAGAGGAAGAGGAATTGGGGACTGTAACTTTGAACTAGAAGCTCAATCACTCTTCGGAAATCCTTACTACCTGCACCACAAACATTCCAAGCAAGAACTTTTAAATTGGTAGGACTAGACATAAAAAAAACATATGGTAAAAGGATAAAAAACTAAATAAAGCCATTAGCTCAAATGATCAAGCAAGAATTCCGTTAGTGGCTGCCGGATTTCCTTGGTTATTGACAGCCAGTGTTCCTTGGTTAATGGTAGCATCTGCGGGGAGCTCCAAAGGGTTCGCTTGATGATCTTTCTCCATAGCCACCTTACTTGGCCTTTCAACAACCAAAGTTTGGGGCGCAGACACTTTATTATTAGAAAGAGCAAAGGACTCTTCAATGTTCTTGATGGTGATTGGGAAGCCACCATCTTTAGATCTTTTGAAAGCATCTTTGGTGATCGAGCTCAGTTGGAGAGGTTTCTTGGCAGTCTTGAGGTTGATTCCCCTATTCTGGATAGTATTCAGAGCCTTTTTTGGGTTCTTCTTTTGTGACCATTGGTGCGAGTAATTTCCATTCGAATTTGAATTCTGATTTTCCTTGGAAGCGCCGTGGAGAGGAGGAACCGAGACAATATTGATTTTCGTATTGTTTGGACCTTGAAGGGCCTTGGCCGTAATAGTTGTCGAAGTAGACTTAGGGGCTTGGGCCTTGTCCGCCGAATGGGCCTCCATGGAGTGGCCCAGACTGGAACTAGCTTCTGATGATCCAACCCCCCTCCATTCATGGATGACAATTCCTTTCTTTTTTCTGTTGGAGCCTGAGGCCTCAATCAGGATGGATTTCCCTTTTTGTGAGATTTGAACTTCCTTCCTCTGTCCCTCCTTACTTTCCTTTTTTTCCCTTTGTCTCTGACTCTGTCTTTCCCTTTGTGACCGATTTAGGAGCTGTTTTTCCAGAATCCACGCTAGAAGAAGGCGAGTTGATTGTTGGGTTACCAGATTTGGCTTTCGTCGACTTCCAAACTTTCCATGTGACCTGCATCCAAGAGTTGTAGTTGGCAGGGGCCTCTAGCAGTGAGAGATCTTCTACAGAATTGCCAGAGCCACCGGGAGCGATAACCAGAGCCAGCTCTGACAGGATCACCTTTGCAGGACACTTTTCTTCAATATGCCTGATTTTCACACATCCATAACAAATATGAGGGAGGTTTTCGTATATAACACTTTTCCACTTGCCTTCGAGATGGATTCTCGTCGGTAGAGGCTTTGTCATGTCCAGATTGATTGCTATGCGAGCAAACTTCCCCCTTTGCAGAGTTTCTGTGTGATAGTCAAGCTTAATCGTTCTTCCAATTAGGTTGCCAATCGCGAAGAGGACCTCACAATGATAGAAGTGGACTGGAAGTTATGGAAATTTTACCCAGACAACCACTAATCTGTGGGGCTTGTTAGACATGTGGAGGCCTGGCGACCATGGATGCACTAATAGGTAGTGATCAAGGATCACTCATGGACCTCCCGTGAGAGCCGTTAGGTAATCCTGATCATTGCTGCAAGTGACAAGAAAAGTTTCATTATTTAGATCCATAATATCCATTGTTGTCGATGGTCGCCACTTCCAACGGAGTTGAGAACAGAGATAAGCATACGAGACTGATCGTCCCAATAACCGCACCACCAAGGTTTTCTTCCAGGGTTGACAAAGCCGCTCTTTGAAGGTTTCGGAGAGATTCAACGAAGGCTCCCCATTGAAAGTCCATGGATCCATGTCATGTTCGCCGACGAAGGTCCATTGACCCCCCTTCGACGGTTGCTGGAGATTCTATCCTGCTAGCACGTTTCTGTAAGAAATGGGCACAGGGATTGATCCCGGGGTAGACTGAGACGCTTGTCGAGATTTCAGAGATGAGGTTGGATCTGGTGGTTTGCCTGCCGGCGGCGTGGATGTCGCTGACGGGTCACCAATTTGAGAGCGTCGCGAGACATGACGTATAGGATTCCCCCGCAAACAACTTCCGTAAACAGTCAGGAAGCTAATTAAAGTACTTTCAATAGTTTAGCTAATTTCCATTGTGTTACCCATTCATGTTAATTAATTCCCACAACAATATACGAAAATAGAATTATACATGCTTTCGTTCTCTACTTTCACATGTGAAAGCAGAAATGTAAACTGTCTTAAGACTTTTGGTATATCTCCTTAGGTTTTAGTGAGAACCCCGCTTATATATAAAGTTACAAATTTAATTTGGATAGTTTGCATTGATAGAAGCGAATCCCATCAGTAACCTTGTGGTGTATGACAATGAGTAACCTTATTAGAATCCACAACATCAACATCACTCTCTCTCTTATGGAAAGCCTTTAATTTTTAGCGGACGATTTATATCTCATTTTCAGTTGGATTTTAAATTTATTTGTACAGATAAATCAGATTAATTGTGCTCTTTAAAATAATATACACTTTCATATATTTTAGGAAAAAGAAAATGAGGTATTTTTTACCAGTCTATACCATGGTGGTATTGAACTATTGATTGGTATTAAAATAAGAGCATATCATATGGTATGAACATACCAAGACTGTAGGATGGTTGGATACTTGATAGTAGTAGTATACTAACTGTCATTTACGACTTTCAACATTGTGTACCACAAGATACCAATTTGCATACCAGGGTGGTATTGTGTGGTATTTTTTTGTCCTGTATTTTTTCACCCAGAAATTTGTACATCCAATAGTTTATGATGAAATCATTCCTTTTGTGCAAAATTTTTAAAAAATGACTTAAAAACGAAAGAGATAACATATGGTATGGAGTTGAGAACAAGAGGTATGAAAAACAATATCTCAAAATAATTGAAACTGGATCTCATTTTGTATGGCACAACGAACTCGTTACATCTGTGCAAAAAAAAAAATTGAAATTCGAGTTAGAACGAAGAAGTTAAAAGTGGATTAAGAAAACTAGGAAAAATAAAATATCTTTATTTCTCCACCGTTAAATCTGAATTTTTTGGGTCCACGTAAAAAGGAAGGTTCAGATTTAGTTGTGCATCCTAACTTGAACGCAAGATTTAATAGTGAGGTTTGCGAAGGGGCAAGGAGAGAAACTGGGTGTTTGGATAGCGATGCTAAGTTTTCTGGTGACAATTTAGAAATCACCTCTTTGAGGTATGAAATTTGGTTTATTTCCTTAGTTCTTGGTTTAATACATCTAGTCAAAGTCCACATTCGTCCTCTTATCTGCCTTAGTATGAAAATCATGAAAAACTACATGAAAATGCATCAAAAGTATAAAAATATTCTTATATGCCACATAATGCACAAATGAACAATTATGAATCAAATCCATAGCTTAATAATTAAAGATGTATTGAAATAGTGAAATGTGATTAAGAAAAAGACATAGAAAACTATATTTTCAAGTGTTATATATCATTTTTTTAAGATTAGTTCATTAAGAGCAATTGGGCCAAGCCCATAGCAAAAATCTACAAGCATTAAACAACAATAGACAAATCAGACTAAAACTACAGGCCCACAAGAAAGTCCAGAACCCAATAGGGCCCAAATGAGGGGCCCAAACCCAACTTCAGCCAACCTAACCCTAGCCGCTAGAATGCCCCTTATGGAGTCTTTGTCGTCGATGAAAGAAACAAATGATGTCGTTCCCACCAGCCAAAGCCTGACGATCCAACCAACTCGGATGGAGGGGTGAAAGGAAAACACCTCCAACCAAAACCTCTCGATCCAGTCGTCATCTTTATACCGGCTTCCACCACACAAGAGAAAAGTCATGTTTGACCGGGCGCACTACGATGCAACCAGAGGGGGAGAAACTTTTGTCTTCAAGCTCACCAGCCGAGTCCAAGCCTATGGCAACATTTCTGAAACACCAAGACCAGCAAGGTGAAGCAAGGAGGTAGGCGAGTGAAGGATAAGGAGAAAACAAGCCAAATCTTACAAAAGATCTAGCCAAGTGTTATCAATCATAATGTGTAGCGATGTTTTTGGCTTCAGAGAATTCGGGGAAAAATTGGCATGGAAGAATTTTATGTGATAATAGTTCTACTGTTAAGCTATCCACGAATATGGTGATTCATAGAAAAGAAAACACATATATTTTAGAATTCAGTTTCTAAGGGATCTTGCAAAGGAAAGGGATAGCGGAAGGGTTAAAGAAAGAAACTATGAGTTTTTGGACGGCCGATACAAATTTTCATGTAAAAATTAAGAAATCAACCCAGGCACTTGGAGGTATGGAATTTGGTTTAGTTCATAAGTTTATGGTTCAAGATGTCTAGTCCTTCCCACATTCGTCATCTTATCTACCTTAGTATGAAAATCATGAAAAACTACATGAAAAGGCATAAAAAATATATAAATATTATTACGTGCACAAAATTCACAAATGAACAAAATGACTAAAAAAAGAAATGAAAACAATATTTTTTGAAGTGTTATCAATCATATTGGGTAGCACAATGTGTTATTAATCATATAAATCCAACAATACTTCAAATATTTTTTTCCCAATCACGTTGTTGTAAAACTTTGATTAAGCACCTCAGACGCGGAGAAGTTACAACCTGACCAATCAAATTCAGAATGTTGTAGGGTGTTGTCCGGAAAATTTAACATTCGGACACCAGACTCGAGAGGAAAGTTAGGAACCTCTCATTCTTAGCTTTCTTGTGTTAGACGAAAAACCCCAGAAGGTATCAATGCATGTTCTTTGAAACCACGGTCAAATTGACTAATGTGAAAGCTAGGAAATAGCTTGATGCACGCATATGCAGGCAAAGTGGATTGACCCAATAATTAATCCATGCACCAACCAACCAGTAACACTATCCACCTGTCGCTTTGAGCAAACCTTAAATCTGATGAATTGTAGTAACAATTAAGAAATTAAGAAAAATCAACTTCATATTCTCTTCACGTCTCTATTATATATGATCAGGCCGTCACCATGTGCACATTTGTAAGATATACAACTTTTTTTTTTATATTAATGGTCCAGAAATAATGCAGTATGTTAACAATTTGTAGCTTTTCTGGCTTGGCTTTCTAATTGGTTAATTAGGTATCTGGGAACATGACACTTAAGTCGCCATTAGTACTTTAGGTATTAACGCGAAAATTGGTCGAATCCCAGCTTGCGAACTCTATGTCAAAGTGGTTTGGCTCAATGGCGGCCAATCCAATTTCCAACTAGCAAATTTCATTCTATTTTTATATTTCCAATTAGCGATTTAAATACTTAATGCGTTTTTTTTTTTTTTGGTTAGATAGTCGCCCAAGTAGGCTTTTTAGTTTTGACAAGAATTTGCTTTCCATTTCTTTTTTTTTTTTTAGCATACGGAATATATGTTTTTCATATATAAGAAAATAAGAATGTGGAATATTAAAAAATGGAGATCGTCGTCAGTATCTCGTCAACAAATCATATACCAAGTCGGCAATGTAAAAGGATTATTAATTAACTAATTACATAAAGGTTGAAGAACGAAATAAGCACACTAGCTTTTCTGATACTCGAACCGATCTCCATTTTTCTAAATTGATTTTCTGCAGCACGCGATATCCCAAAGTGCATGCCGATGGATACTACACTTAGTATCGAGATTATTATGCCTGCCTGCTTAATTGCCGTCCGTGTTTAGTTGATTCGCAGAATCCACTTTACTGTCTCCTAGCAAAGATACGTTCCATGTTGTAAATATTTGCACCATTGCTTGCATCGATTTGATTTTGAATTTTGATATATGTACGTAACACAGAAATAAACACATGATCAATTGAATTGATTCGTGTGATTAAGTTTAAGACGTTAGTTAGGGTGCCATCAATCTGGTCTAAGATTCCTAGTTTTACCGGCTCACATGCACGCGTCAATCAGGTATCTTATTCCTAGCTCTAGCTCACCTTCTTAAGTTTCATCGTCGGTTAGCCTTGAATATATTAGCTAGCCTAACTATGGTAAAGGGAGATAGTGTGAATGAGGTTTGTTATAAGGTTGGTCTTTTTCGGTGACCTTGCTATAGATTATTGGAAACAGTTGGTTTTATGATATGTGATGAGAGTTAGTTTGACTATAATATCTAATGTTCGAGTTCCCACAACCTCCAGTATCAACAATAAATATCAATATTTGGTATACGACTGTGAACACTTCAAACTTGTGATTTTGCTTTCATTTTGAGAGAGTATGTGATGAAATGGTACAAGATCCATACATAACTCTGCTCCTATAAATATGTAATCTA